CCTCCTCCGACTCCTCCTCCAGATGCCTTTGGTGGGTCAGAAAATGCTGCCAGAATGTCCACCATTATCTCATTGAAGCTCTGCCCATTTGGTGAAACAGGAGTGAAAGCACAAGCAAGAGAAGCTCTTCAAATGGTGACTCTGCCACGATGCTGTCTCCAGTTGCCTGGAGCATGCAGACCCAAAAGACGGCTCAGCAAGATGTTGGGAACTTGGTGGGCTGTGACAGCTTCTTGTAACATGCAGGATGGACAGTCAAGTTTTCCCACACTGCATTATGAACTAAGGGCTAGAGTGGCAACAACTGGGAGGGTGGGGGAGAGCACCAGGCAGCTTGGATAGATGGTTTGACTCAGGTCTGTGTGCTGCAGTGTGGATGCTGGATCTCCAGATTTGGGGCCCAAATCCACAAATTGTAAACCCGTGGTCACCAATGTGTGTGGATGCTCAAGCCCTGGGCTTGCAAACCCACGGTCTGCAGATTCGAGTCCCACTAACTGTGGGCTTACATGGCAGAGTAGACATACCCTGAGAGCACTTACAGCTCTGCTGTTGCCATGCAACCAGAGCTATCCCCCTTTAATGCCCTCAGCAGATTTTCAATCCTTAACGAGTCATGGCACAGCTAAATGTAATCCTGACATTCCCTTATGGGTGCTACAACATCATTTGTAACTGCTTTACAGTGGACCATTTTAGCAGAAACATCCAACTAATGTGCTAATCCCAAACTGCCTCCTACTCCTTCCCAGGTGCTCAGATCCCCAGCTGCTTCCTACCCAACTGTCAAAACCTCCAGCTTCCCCCAACACCCTCTCCTATACAGTTACACAATACAAAATTCTGCAGTACACTGAAAGTAATAAAAATTAAGGGCACTATAACATGAATGAAGTTTCATGTCAAAGGGGCAGATTATGAGTACATTCCTCTTATTGAGTAGAATCTTACTTCACAGATGGCTCTATTGATTTCAGTGGGGCTACATATGGAGCAAGATACTATTCAGTGTGTGTAAGGAATTCACAATCTGGGTCCCAAAAATAATCCAGAGGGCTCGGTGCTGATGGCATTATTTGTTCAATGAACATGTCCATTTAAAAACAATATGATCTGATGCTGCCACAGAATTTCCCTTTTGCTGAACAATAGGCCTGCTGAAACCAGAGGGCCTTGCCACAGAGTACTTGGGCTTGTCTGTCATCCATCTTTCTGTCTCTCTTATTCATCGCTCTTTCTTCCATCCATTCACATCTCTTTCTCTCTCTGGCTAGCATCTATGCCATCTCATCTCATTTCATCCCATCCTCCTTGAAGCATGTGCCTAGTAGAGAGAGGAATTGTTAAAGAGAGTCCATAGGGTCTAAGAGTAAAGCGGTGAAATTTAGCAATGAGAAAATGTAGGCTGAATACTAGGAAACATTTCTGAACAGCAAGAATTTCTGAGGCTGTTAAATATTTCCCCTGTGAGATTAGCAGAAGTCTCAAAGCAGGAGTCACTTAAAACTAAAAGGATAACATCTCAGAGAATAAGAAAAAAGCTGGAGAAAAATAGCATGCCGTATATTTGATGCTAAGTGGGGCTGTCTCTTAACAGGAGACTGGTCTGTTTCTTGAGCAGAATGCTGGGAACATTTCTGCTTCGGTATGGGGCCTGGGACCTTACAATTCTGGCTAACCTACAGGAAAGGAGTGGCTCTTTTATTTCAGGAACTTTGTGCTGTTCAATGGAACTTCCCCTACAGGCAGGAAATTCCCTGCAGCATAGATGGAACGTTAAGGCTCCAGGATTGTATCAGGCCTTTTACTTATCCAAATCCTATGATCCACTTCTAGGGTATTCTTATATTTAAAGATTGATTTTTCCTTTGAGATGTTGCTGGGCCAGAGCCTCGGGTGACATAAATTGGAGTAGCACAACCGTGTTACATTACCCATTTCTGACTGTAATTAAACCATGTCTAGCAGAGAAATTTACTGTCTTTTTTTTTTTAAATGAGCCTTCATTAATTTTCACTCCAAGTAGTTTGAAACACTGGAGAGGAGTATGTGGCTGTGGGTTGAGGAGGTTGGCTCAGGGTTCTGCTTCCCCCATGCAGTTTTACTCCAGATTAAATCAAAATCCACACCCACTGAAACTTGGCATCTCTGAGCTTTTAGCCCCAGAGGGTTTTTAATATTCTCTTGTAAATCTACCTGGCTATTGTTTAATTATAGAGTGGGGAAAGCAAGAGGACTTCAAAAATAAAAGTACTAATCTCCCCATGTGATTGCTTTAAAAAAATAGAGACAGATTTAGATAGAAACTTTCCAAACAAAATATATGGGGTATGATTCTGCTCTCATTGAAATGTGTGTAAATCGGGAGAAGCTCCTCTGAGGTCAGAGTATTTTTAGTTCTTGCTTTAGATAGGGCAACTTTTGCTCTTTCTGGGTGAAATTCAACCTTGTGAATAGGGCCAGTATAAGACTGGTGTACTCCTTACATACCACTTAGGCTACATCTACACTAGCACTTCTGTCGGCAAAACTTTTGTCACTTAGGGGTGTGAAGAAACACCCCGAGTGACATAACTTTTGCTGTATAAGAGCTCGTGTGCACAGCGCTGTGTCAGCGGGGGGATGCTCTCCCACCGACATAGCTACCGCCATTTGTTGCGCTGGTTTTATTACTCTCTCCTGTCGGCATAACGTGGCTACATGAACACTCTCACGATTGCACAGCTGTATCGGTACAGCTGTGCTGCTGTAAGCTTGTAAGTGTAGACATGGCCTTATACTCTATTTTGCAGGCTTAACTGAGACTGAAGTAGTGCATGGGCTCTGTGCTGTTTCTCTGCACAGACGTGAATTTCACCTGTTCACATTAAGCTTGTACTTCCCCTTTTGACCTATTTTACTCTGTTCACTAATGGACTCATAGAATCATAGAAATGTAGGGCTGGAAGGGATCTTGACAAGTCAAGTCCAGCCTCCTGTGTTTAGGCAGGACAAAGTAAACCTAGAGCATCCCTGACAGTTGTTTGTCCAACCTGTTCTTAAAAACCTCCAGTGATGGGGATTCCACATATTCCTTTGGAAGCTTTTATAGTTAGAAAGTTTTTCCTAATATTTAACATAAAACTCCCTTGCTGCAAATTAAGCCCATTACTTCTTGTCCTATCTTTCAGTGGACCTGGAGAACAATTGATCACCATCCTCTTTATAACAGCCCTCAACACATTTGGAGACTGTTATCAGGTCCCCCCTCAGTCTTTTTTCCCCAAAACTTATCGTGCCCAGTTTTTCTAACCTTTCCTCATAGGTCAGGTTTTCTAAATCTCGGATCATTTTTGTGGCTCTCCTCTGGAGTCTCCAATTTGTCCACATCTTTCCTAACACATGGTGCCCAGAAATGGACACAGGACTCCAGCTGAGGCATCACTGGTGCTGAGTAGAGCGGGACAATCACCTCCCATATCTTACCTACCACATTCCTGTTAATACACCCCAGAATGATATTAGCCGTTGTCACAACTGCATCACACTGTGGACTCATTCAGCTGTCATCCTAAGTAATTTCTCTTCCTCCATGGTGTTTTCCGCTTCAGACACTTATAAACAGTTATTATGTCCTCTATTGTCCTTTAACTCCGCTATACAGCTCATATTTAACTATTTTAATCTTTCTTCATAAGCAATCTCTCCATTCCCTTAAAGGTGTGCTGAAAACATTGTCTGTGACCATTTTGTTTCTGTCGTATGCATGAAGCAGGAGGCCTGAGAGAGTTTGTTTTAAATCAGGGTTAGATTTGGCTTGCGTTGACTCACTGCTATGTGGCCTCCTCTAAATCCCAGCTCTTCAGCTGCCAGCTCATGCTGCAAGATGTCCCTCTGTGTCTTCTCAAGTGTGAGCAAACCACCACTCCTCTGCCCACTCCACTACCTTCCCATTCATTGTGGGATCCAGATACAATTGGATTCAGTTCCAAATTGTCCTCCTTAGTTTTAAAACTCTTTGTGGATTTTCCCCACTCAGCCTTGCAGAGATAGTTTCTCTACCAGACCCTCTCTGCTCCCTCTAGTTGTGTGACATAGGCCTTCACTCTCTCTCTTCTCATTGTTTTAGTTTCACTTTGTTGGTGCAGGACCCTTCTCCTCTGTGGCTTCTTCCATATGGAACAGCCTCCCTGGATCTCTTTGCCTCATTCACTATCCTGCTCTTTTAAAAATCCTGTCAGCAAACGCACCTCCTCTGCCTTGCCTAGGCAGTACCTCCTGATTTCTCTGCTCCCCTCCCTGTTGGGTAGCTCTGCAAAGCATTTGGAATACTATTTGCATAGGAATTTTACGTAAAGATTTGTGTGTGTGTGTGTGTGTGTGTGTGTGTGTGTGTGTTGTGTTGTGAGAGAGAGAGAGAGAGAGA